CCACAGTTCAACCTTGAGCTACAGATATTTTCCTCCAAGGATTTCTGCGGTGGAAGAGGTTTGAGCTATTGTAGATGATTTTAAATGTAGCTTTCAGTTCTTATATTTTACGGGCCGATGGATTGTTTTAAAAAATGCCTGATGCCGAAGTCTCTCTGGCTTGCTTAAATTTGGATCTGCTACAGGTAATCCTTGACTTATGACTGCAATTGAGCCCGAAATTTCTGTTGTTAAGTGAGACATTTGTTCAGTGAGTTTTGCCCTATTTTATGACCTTTCTTGCCACAGTTGTTAACTGAATCACTGCAGTTGATAAGTTAGTAACCCGGTTGTTAAGTGAATCTGGTTTCCCCATTGACTTTGCTTGTCAGAAGGTCACAAAAGGTGATTGCATGTGCTTGGGACACAGCTGTGGTCATAAATATGAACCAGTGGCCAAGCATCTGAATTCTGATCACACAATCATGGGGATGCTGCAAAGATTGTAACTGAAATACAGTCATAAGTCACATTTTTCAGTGCTGTTGTAACTTTGAACGGTCACTAAACAAACTGTTGTAAATCGAGGATTATCTGTAATCCATTTCCAGCCACTTGGATGTTCAGAGCAACTTATTTACCTGATCTGGGTATTAATCTATACATTGTCTTTTCAGAGATTCAAACAGAGGAGGACTCTATTTATGTGTAAGTTTTCTATCAATGTAATCTTTTGGGTCTTTAGTTGGAATTGTTACCATTTTAGGCATAAATATAAATTTATTTTTACTGGTGACCACTGTACGATTGTGTAATCCACACTTACAAAGTGTCAAGATCCAGCTCAAGAATCCAAATAAAACTCCAGATTAATTTTGTTTCCGAAAATCTTAACAGTTTATTGAATACACTGGATGGTTATGCCAAAGAAAAACTAATTCTGAGGTTCCCACACCAATTCATAGACTTAAACAATAGTTTTCCCAGCCAACGTCTTACGTAATCCATATCAACCAGTCCACTTTATTATGAGAACAATCTGCTTCAAATCCACAACTGTTCTGGTGTCCTGGACAAGGCTTTAGGCTCCCACGGTCTGCAGCTGAATCAAAGTAGTTTCGTTTCTCCATCTACCCACTTGAAAGTAATGCCTCCCCTCCCCCCCTTTATCTAAAGACAAGTTGAAACCCAGAGGCACCTAGCTGCCAAAGTTTCATCCTTGACACAAAGACCTTGGTCCATCTTCATAGAGTCCTCTGTTTAAAGACTTAACAAGCCTGTATATTAAAAGGGCTTGTTAAGTCTTTAACAAGCTTGAAGTTAAGTTCAGGTCCAATTTAATGGTGAGAGAATGTAAAAAGGGAACACACTGAGGATCTCAAAATCATAGGGAAGCAGTACAAAAATCCCCTAAACTCAGTTTTTCTTTATGTGAGTAGCCTTTCCTAGAAATCTCAATGATTATGCTAATTGTAAATTCTAATTTCATAATTCAATGTATCTGGAAGGCTCTGCTATCCCAGGATGCGTCGTATTCCTACTTAACTTGGAATAATCATTTCTAAATAAGGCCATTGTTGTCTTTTTTCTTCCTACCCCCTTTTTTGTTTTGTAGTATCATTAGGTGGTTACTCTCATCATAGAGCCTCAAAATGTTTGCTCAGAATTCTTGTAAGAAATATTAGGGAAGAGAATCACTGGATTTAATCATCTCCTAAGCTTTCTGATTCTCTCATAGAACCATAAAGCATCTTTCTCTAGCCAGACATCTTCCATGTGTGTGAGTGTTTCAGCTTCAACTTCCAGAATTCATTAATTCAATTTGGCAACAGCTTGGGGAAGGCTGTGCAAAACTTCCGTTCCAGGCAATGACAACAGTTTGATTGCAGAACAAATGATGCAAAGAGGGGGGTGGCTGCCTCTTCACTGGATGTTTTCAACCAAACGTTAGGACAATCATCTGTCTAAGGTACTCTGATTAATTTGATGGCACCTTCCAACTTTATGACCACAATCTGGAGAGGAGTGTAGAAAAGGCCTTCTTGGCAATAGCACCTGAAGTCTTGTTTTGGTTCCTGTTGTGAAACTATTGTGTTGAATCCCCAATTCAGACTAGAGAGCTCAGGCTGAGTGATTTTTGTTCAGCATTTTATCCTAGACCATTTTGTAGGCTTGTTGGGAAAACAGTTCTGATGTGATCTGGGATAGCATATAAGTGTGAAAGAGCAAATTATTTCTGATTCTGCTTGTTGCTTTGCGTGGCTCTGATTCAGGATGGGAAATCAACCAGAGGTATTGATATTCCATTTCTTTCTCCAACCCTCTGCTCTCGCCCCTTCTCTATTCTAGTGAACCCCTCTCTTCACATCATTACCACAATTGGCAAAAAGTCACAGGACTATCAAGTGGTAAGTGGACAAGACAGGTTAAGTAACCCATAACCTATAACCTAATTTCTGAGGGGTCTTTGGTGCTCTCTGAGCTTGGTTCCTTTCTTGCAGACGTTTTATTATCCAAACTAGGTAACATTATCCCAAACTAGGATGATGTTGCTTAGTTTGCGTAATTCAACATCTGCAAGAAACAACCAAGGACCCCTCCTTTCAACCCTGAGCTACAAATATTCTCCTTTATTGGTGCCACTAATTTCTGTGTAGCAACCACACCAAGTTATTTTCTATTTTTGTTAACCAAGAACAGGCCTGGCCTAGGGGGAAAGTACAGGTAGTCCTCAATTTACGACGATTTGTTTAGCAGCTGTTCAAAGTTACGGTGGGTGCTGAACAAAGGGCTGCGGTATCCCTGTGGTCACATGGTCAAAATTTGGGCGTTTGGCCACTTACAATGCTTACAAACCCCCCCCCCCACCTATCTCTTCCCCATCTACGCTTTTCTGCCTTCTGAACGCCACGGCTCCTGCTACTCTAACTGACCATTGTCATATTTTTGCTCCTGCTGTTGACCAAGCTTACCTGGCTTGACCCTTTGCAAGGCAGTTTCGGGCCCCAGGAAGCTTTCTTCCCCAGGTCACGCAAGCCGGTTTCCTCACAAGACTTGGGGAAGATGGCCTCACACAGCCAGCAACTGCCTGGCAGAGGGCCAAGGCGTGTATGTTTGGTCAGCAGCAGGAGCAAAAGCAGTGGGAGAAAAATGGTGACGGTCAGCAGGGGCAGCAAAGGACAGGGAAGCAGGGGCCTCGGAGTGCAGGGTGGACTGGGCTGAGGCAGCTTTGTGTCACACAGCCAGAGTGCCTGAAGCTTCCTGGAATGCTGTGGCTTTGTGCTGTGCTGCTGTGGCTTCCTAGGGCAGTGATGGCGAACCTTTTAGAGACGAAGTGCCCAAACTGCAGCCCAAAACCCACTTATGCATCGTCAGGTGCCTGGTGGGTGTGGCCCATTGGCTTGGTGTGGCCCATTGGGTGGGCGTGGCTGAGGTGGTAACGGCAGACTGGGTGGGACTAAAAAGTTCAATCAATCAATTCCAAGTTTGCAAGATCTTTTTTTTTTCCCACGAGAAGTTGAAATTGACTGATTGAACTTTTTTTTTGTACACAGCGGCGGAGGCCTAAAGTGAAAAAGGTTTTATAAAACCCAGCTGAAGGCCTAGGACTGGGACGATGGCGCGCGTGCCCACAGAGAGGGCTCTGAGTGCTGCCTCTGGCACCCGTGCCATAGGTTCGCCACCACTGTCCTAGGGCATGTGGCATTACACCATGCTGCTAGGGCTTCCTGGGGTGCTGTGGCTTCATGCTCAGGGTCTGCTTTTTGCCCTGCAAGGCAGGGCACAGGGCAGCTTAGTGGGCAGAGAAGGGGGAGTTATAGGAAGTGGAGGGAGCTCAAGAGCAGGTAGTCCCTGACCTTACAGGCTCCAGGCTGGGAGGAACCCAAGCTTAGAGTAGCTTGGATTGCAATGAGTCCTCGGCTATCGACCAGTGGTATTCAGTTAGCAACAGGGAGCGCCCAGTTTGCCATTGCTAAGCGATGCAGCCAAGTGATGTCATACTTTACAACTGCATCGCTTAGCAACAGAAATTCCAGTCCCAACTGTGGCTGCAAGTCGAGGACTACCTGCATGGGCAGGACTGCGATACTTCTGACACGGCACTGTCTGAGTGTCTTGCCGAGTTCAGGGGTTCAGGAAAAGGAACCTCAGTTTCAGCTGATGAAAATAAATTTAGTGTGCAATGTTTTGTATTGCTGTTTTATCTGGCATGTATGATGGGAACATACATATGTACCTACTTACATAGGAATATGGAGTTTTGTGAGCACCTAAGCATTCAAAAAATAATAGTTGCCCCGGAGAGATTTGCCTCTTTACAAAATGGCTGCTTCACCAACTATTTTTTGTTTTAGAGTGGGTAACCACACACTGATCCAGTTTCCAAGCACTCACAGTTGAGGTAGATTACTTTTCAGGATTGCTTGGTGGGTGGTCCGAATCAAGAATCAATGCAGCCAGAACCAAAAAGGGATGGTGTTGAGGTGCCCTTTCTTTTTCTAACATACTCTTTTTTCCTTCTCCTGACACCATTTTCCTTCTGTGACTTTTTCTCCTCTGTATAACACTTCCCTTTCCCCTCTCCTCTCTGACATTGCCTTTCTTCCTCTCTGAAGATGCAAATGATGGGTGTATGTTCATACAAAGATCAACATGGGATGCACATAGTGGGTAAAACCATGATTGTTCTCCTTAGTTGCATTTGGACAAACATCTGTATAATAGCACTAGCACTTAGAAATATATACCGCTTCATAGTGCTTTACAGCCCTCTCTAAGCGGTTTACAGGGTCAGTATATTAGATTCATTCAGATAGATAAGTTAGATAACAATCTGGCTTCTCATTTTACCGACCTTGGAAGGATGGAAGGATGAGTCAACCTTGAGCTGGTCAGAATCAAACTGCTGGCAGTTGGCAGTTAGCGGAATTAGCCTGCAATACTGCATTCTAACCACTGCGCCACCCTGGCTCTATACCACTTTGATGCTTTTTTTCAATCTCAGCTTTCCCCATCTTTCAGATGATAATTCCCATGGATACCAAAATGTTATTGGGACAATCAAAAGCAGTAGATGTGGTAAGTTCTTTGGATAATATTCCTTTCCTTTTCTCTGTATCAAGCCAAATAGTTATCTGCCCCATACAATTACATACAGCAGTTGCAGAATATGTCTGATATGATGATCTGCTCTAATGTCATGTGGATGCACAGTCTTACATTCCACTCATATACCTTAAAATTTGCTCCAGAGGACTGGGAGTCTGTTTCTTCCTCTGGTGTCTATTACAGAAAGCACTTTCCAAGGAAGATCTGTATGATAATATACATCAAATACTAAGCATCCCAAAGGTGCTTTTTCCAAAAGACATCTAGACTTTCTTCATTTTTTTCCCTTTGATAAAGTTTGCTTCCCATCCGAGAAGCTTCTTCAGTTCAGTAGAACTGAAGAAGCTTCTTGGATGAGAAGCGAGACGATTTCAAAGGAAAGAACTGAGACTGTCCACTTGCCTTTTGGAAAAAGCATCTTGGATAAAACCATGACCTGGATGATTGAGAATCTCCATAGACATTCCATACTAAGCATTTTTCACCTTGCCCAAGACAATCTGTTCCACATATGCACCGGCTGAAGTCCCAAGCGGTCATCTGAGAGGGTGGAGAGAATGTCAAAAACAGGAAGAATAATAATCAAGTGAGATTAAAAATTTCAGAAATAATCAGCTGTTTACATTTCCTCATCTTTTTCTCTCTCTAGATGAAGACATCTATGAGAACAATCTAGCAATCCAGATATGGAAGCAGGTGCAGATTTCAGGTAAACCCAGCCCTGAGAATTCAAAAGCAGGATTGTTGAATGAATGAAAAAAGGATTACAGTGGTTCTTAACCTTTTCTTCACTATGGACCCCATTTAAATACATTTTGTGGCCACGGACCATGGCCACGGACGCCCAAGACCAAAGATTTAAATCATAACATTTCTTTAAGCCTTTGCTGACCCTCTGCGACATTGTGCCTCCCCCCCCAGGGGTCTGCGGACCACAGGTTGAGAACCACTAATGTATTACACATACTTCAACTGAAGCTAATAATTGCTATCAGTGATCTCAGCTAATGAAAGGCTGTGAACTATGATATAGGAAAGACTGGAATATAGGAGGAGAATAGGAGCTGAATTCAGTATGACCTGAAATGAGATTTAAGATTGAGGACACTATTACATGGAGGTGCTGTCAGGATTAGATCACATTTTATAGGACAAATAAATAATAATAGAATCCCCAAATCCTTAAACACCTGATGGTGTTTATAGTATTGTTTATAGTGTTGTATTGACTTACAACCAATAACGGCAGCAAAGTGATAGAATGTCTGTTGCCCTCTAGTTTTTACCTGGATGTTTCAGTACTGCTGTGTAGCCTTAACAAGTTTCTTGTTCTGTTCTGCTTATGCATAATTATTTTCTCACTCTAGAAAGCGACAGTGCTAATTGTGAGGAAGAATCTATTTACATCAATACAGAACAATATAGCAGGTAATTATGCAGACAAGCCGTGCTTTCCTGCACTGGGCGTGCAATCATTGTCAACATGGATCCCTAGTTATGTCTTCCCGTAAGAAATAAAAATAATTCTAATTAATTTAATGCGAAAGTATGTTTTGACAGACTCGGAGGCAAAATCTGGTAAATTCTGTTTAAGGAGTCTTAAATGTAGTTTCCATTTAAAACAAAGCAAATTGTTTTCTAGTGTTTCTCAGCCCAGCCAGCCAGAATTCCGGGAGTTGAAGTCCACACATCTGAATGTTGCCAAGGTTGAGAAACACTGCTCTAGATGAATAATGACATTGGTGAATAATATCTAATGTGTTTCTCTTAAAGTAGAAAACTAGGTTATTAGAAATCAGAGTTTCTTTTTAAATTCAGTCAAGATATTTAAATATTAGAGCATGCAATGGAACTAAAGGGATTCAGTGATAGAAGTGTGTACAAGTAGTCCTTGACTCATGATGGTCACTTAGCAACTGTTCAAAGCTACAACAGACCCCCACCAAAAGGTATTTATGACCTGGTTCCAAAGATGGCTGTCTGCTCCCGCAGTCAAGTGACTGCATTTTGGATACTTGGCAGCCAACCTGCATTTATGGCTGATTGTAGTATCCTGCAGTCACATGACCTTGAGTTAACATTGTTTTTACACACACAAAAAAGGCATTTACTTCTGATTCTGGCAAAAACTACCTATAGTGAAGAATGGGTTCACTTAACAACTTCCACAAGAAAAAGTTGTAAAATCAGGTCAGTCACTGATGACATGCTTTATGGCCATCGTGATTTACAACCGTAATTGCCAGGCTCAGTTATGGTCTTTAAGTTGAGGACTACCTGTATAAGGCGAGACTGTGGTCACATGAACAATCAGCAGTCAGTGTGATTAAGTTCAGATGTCTGGTAGTATCTTTTCAGACCCACTCATTTGTTCTTCTGGAAAGGTACTCCCAGATTCTTCCTGGGGTTTTGGTTACCAGAGAGTAACATGGCTTTCCTACAAAACCAACTAATGTGATTTCCAATTGCATTAAAAATACTTGAAACTTATCATGAGAACTAACAGTTACATTTTTATTTTCCCAGTTCTCAAAGGAGAGATGTCCATTTCTGAGAAATTGGTATCCTAAATGTACTTCTTTTTAATGGGTTAACCTGGGATCCAGGCAAAGTCTTTCCACGTGTGACTGAAATCTTCAAGAGCCGAAATCTAAGAGGAATTAAAGCGTCCCAACTCCAACATACCAGAAGACTGGATAATAACACTGAACTAATTTACCGGATTGTCATACTTTATTCTTGCCACATCTTCCTGGCCCTACCTGTCAGCATCGAATTTCTGACTTACTTTGCAGACCTAATATAATTTATCACAATCTCCCAGATAGCGAATCTTGCTTTGGCAATATTTATGAGGCATGTATGGACTTTATCTGCCCATATTGTAGGATAATTTTTAGAAATCTGCAGAAACGACAAGCCTCCGCATCACTAAATAAATAAATAAAATGTGAATAATATTGTAAGCTTCTGTTTCTATTCCTATATTTGTTTTGGGAAGATAGACACTCACAAACTCACTCACAGCAACTCCTGAAATCTACATTACTGATTATATTATTATAGTTGGATGTGCAGTAAGCCAGATATTTAGACTGGATTTGGCATTTGTGTCTACCTATCGAGTCATCCCCAAGGACCTGGGATAGGCAAATGTTCTTTAATAGTATTAAAGGCATCGCAGAAAGTAAGCTATTTTAAGTAAAGCTGCCTTTTGAAATTGACTGATTTTGTCAATGCTGGTAGTAAGGCCACACTTGGAATACTGCATCCAGTTTTGACCACCACAATGTAAAAAAGATGTTGAGACTCTAGTTTAATGAAGAGAAGGACGAGGGGGGACATGATAGCAGTATTCCAATATCTCAGGGGCTGCCACAAAGAAGAGGGAGTCAAGCTATTTTCCAAGGCGCCTGAAGGCAGGACAAGAAGCAACGGATGGAAACTAATCAAGGAGAGAAGTAACCTAGAACTAAGGAGAAACTTCCTGACAGTTAGAACGATTAACCAGTGGAACAACCTGCCTCCAGAAGCGGTGAATGCTCCAACACTGGAAGTTTTTAAGAAGAGACTGGACAGCCATTTGTATGAAATGGTATAGGGTTTCCTGCCTGAGCAGGGGGTTGGACTAGATGACCTCCAAAGTCCCTTCCAACTTTATTATTATTATTATTATTATTATTATTATTATTATTATTATTAGTGCTCCAGATGTTTTGGAATTGCACCCATCATGCCTATTATTATTGGTACTATCTTTGCTTTCCTTTTCCATAGTCCTTTTATTTGTGTGTCTTTATATTTTGTGATTTTCTCCAGTTCCTTCTCTTTTATTCTGCTGTTGCCAGATATTACAAAGTCCACTATTATTATTTTGAGACAGCAGCAATCACTCCAGTCCAAAGAAGATGACAGATTAATTCCTGGGCCAAAAAAGCTGAAAAGCAGAAAAATAAGCCTTCTGCATACAAAAGGATCAGAAATAGAATTACACTCTTTAGCTTCTTTTCTTGGATTCTAGAATGCTGGAGACTCCTTTTTTAAATAATAATAATAATAATAATAATAATAATAATAATAATAATAATAATAATAATAATAATAATAATAATAATAATAATAATAATAATAATTATTATTATTATTATTATTATTATTATTTAGGAATTCCCCATTCCACCCCAGATACCTATAGTTCAATTATTTCTAAAGGATACGTACAAAACTAAACAGATTAACAAAACAGTGGTTTAGGATTGTCAAGACAAATTTTAAAAGCAAAGTTGGAACAAATTGGATTTCTGTTAGCATGGCATATTAATATGGTCACGAAGAGACTACAGAGGCCTGGCTGAATCTAAGGGGCTCAAGAATTGTATAAAATTACTGAACGTAACTTAAAATCAGGACATAAGACAATTCTTAACAGCAAGTCTGTAATGATTTAGAGCCTGAATGAGCAATCTTGAAGACCAAGGGCTGCACTTAATACAAGCAGGAGTGTGTGTGAGAGTGAGGGCTGCAAAAGTGGATGAAGTCACATAATATGAGAGCAAGAATGTTGTTCTGGAGGCAATGGAATAATTTATGTTTTCAAGTAAGCTATGTTTATTTGAAGGCTTCTGCTTTAACATTTACACCTATCTTGCTACCTTAACATGGCAGGAAACTGCTGATGACACTGAAAGTTGTATAAAAAAGTCTTGAGGGTTGCAGACTATCCCCTCTCACCTAGAATGGTATTTCCCTTTGTTTCAGAAGTTTATGATGATCCCATCCTTTCATTCCCTTTTTAGGTCTGCATAAAAACCAGTGAAAACTGCTTCAATGGCTAAACCTTTTTTTATTATTATTTTGGAATCATACTGACTCACCTAGCCTCTTGCAAAGGTTTCCAGCCCTTGAAATATGCAACTGGTAGTAGATGTACAATACTGCAGCATAGTTCTTACTCAACTGATTACCCACAAATCTATCTTCAGTTTCTCTTTGGTTCCTAATCTGTATTCTATATATTTTGAGCAATTTGAAGAAACGTGATCTGGGCATAACTTGAAACATAGATCCTGAATGGGCTTTGTCTAAAGCACAGGTGTCAAACTCGATCACATCACGTAACGTATCGCAACATTTTTTGCCTTTGCAGAGCTGGGGTGGGCGTGGCCTGCGTGTGATGCATCCAGCCCAGGGGCCGCCAGCTTGACACGCCTGGTCTAAAGCAACAGCTAGAAAGTTACTTGAATTTCAGCTATGGCTCTTGTGGGATTTGCAGAAACAACTGGAACCACATAGGCACAGAAACAATACTATTGATATAGTAAAAATTATGGTTGATAGTTTTTATAACAAAGTTTTATTTAACTGTAAAAAACACAAGTCATATGATAAACCACAGCTCTGATAACTATTTTCGCACCTACCAAATATATGCTAAGCTATGCACTCATACTTGGATTGCACAAAGCAGCTAGTCCGTTTGCAAAATCTCCTCCTTATTGGCCAACTTGCCGACCATCCTCTCAGCTTGTGGTGGGAGCAGCAGTCTTCTGACAGAGGCGGGCTAGCAATCCTGCCATTTGCAGGAGTGAATTTACCCCTTCTACTATCTTCATGTGTGTATAACCGATTTCCTAATGGTAGAGGAAAAAAATATATTAAAATCAAATGAGTTTCCTATTTTTCCTGCTGTAGAGAAAAGGCACATTTCAGTATAAATTCATGAAATCACAACAGCTAAATTTTCATGTTGCTGTGCACATGCAAACCGAGTTGTGGAAGAGGAAACCACAGAGAGGAATTACCTAAACCAAACAGGAACATCCACCCCTCAATAAAGCAACAAGTATTACACCTTGCCCTAAAATTATTCTCGGAATTCCCATCATCATTTGATGAAGAGAGCTGTATATGGGTAATCCTTGACTTACGACCACAATTAAGCTCAAAATTTATGTTGCTAAACAAGAAGGTTAAGTGACTTTTGCACAATGGTGGGATTCAAATATGTGAACAACCGGTTCTCTGTATGGATGCTGCTTCTGGAAGTCCATTTCGTGCCTGGGCAGCAAAAAATTGGCTACCGATTCTGCCGAACTGGTGCGAACTGGCCGAATAACACCACTGGTTTTGCCCCATTTTACGACCTTTCTTGCCAGTTGTTAAATGAATCTCTACGATTGTTAAACTAGTAACATTGTTGAGAATCTGGCTTCCCCATTGACTTTGCTTGTCAGGTCACAAAAGGTGATCACATGACCGAAGGACACGGCAACCCTCATAAATTGCTAAGCGTCCGAATTTTTATCACATGATCATGAGGAAGCTGCAACCGTTTTAAGTGTGAAAAATAGCGATAGGTCACTTTTTTCAGTGCCGTTGTAACCTCGAATGGTCACTAAATGAACGGCTGAAAAGTTAAGATTACCTGTATTAGGAAAAAAAGGATGGATTAAAAAAATTGTGATATGTCAATAGATTCAAAAGCAGCGATACACCATGTCTGGACCAGGCGGCCCTCTTGACATCACTGAAGCACTAGTCACATAGTTGGATTATTGCAATGCGTTTACATAGGGCTTTTCTTGAAGTTCACTTGGAAGGTGCAGCTGGTCCAGAATGCAGGACGTGGCAGCCTTACATACACCTCAGTATACTCATATGACATCATGATTATCACCTCTAAAGCATAATATCAGGTTATTTGAGGAAATACTATTAGTAGTAGTAGTACTGGTACTGGTACCGGTACTACTATTACTACTACTACTACTACTACTACTACTACTAATAATAATAATAATAATAATAATAATAATAATAGAGTTGGAAGAGACCTTGGAGGTCTTCTAGTCCAACCCACTCCTCAGGCAGGAAACCCTATACCAGGGGTAGGCAATTTTGGCTCTTTTATGACTCGTGAACTTCAACTCCCAGAATTCCTGAGCCAGCCATCTCTGCCCATCCAGTAAGATTTTTCATTTATTATTCCATTTGTATGAACAACTATCTGATCTAAGCAATTCTGGCTGGCTCAAAACAGGTAAAACGCTCCAATAAAACTATGTTGAAAACCAATACATACATATAAAACCCATCTGCAATCAATTTAGAAGTATTCTATCCTTTATTTCTAAAAGTTGCCAATCCTTCTGCTCCTAAATGGATCGAAGAAATCACTTCAAGTGGAGCAAGAGAGTTAGAGATGTTTTGTGCAATTTTACTTTGGGATGTAATGGAATTCATTAGTACGGTATTCTTTTCACCTATTTAAGGGAGAAGTTTACACAGGATTATACATGTATCTATATAAAGATCCAGATATTAAAAAGATCCCTTCTTCAGGGCACTTGGCTTGCACAACCAGCCCTGCTGCTTACACCAGCAACTCCCACAAAACCTAACCTTAATAAACTCCAACTTCAGATATTCTGCCATTTGGAATGTTTTACAAACTCGGAAAATATTGCTGATGATGTCTTCAGGTGAGTAACCAAGCTTCCATAAGTGAGCAAGAATCTGAAGAAAGAACAGAATTATCATTTGATGTCTTAACAGCTTTAAAGATGTATATCCCATTTCTTAAACACTATTTTTAAGACAGCTCAAGCACCAATGAAAAGCAATATATAATCACAATTAAAATATAAAGACAATGGACTTCAAAAAAGAGAACAGAGAGGAAGACCTGTGACTTACGTTTTTTCCTATGACCCCAGCCAATTGTTGCCTTTAGAGCATATAATTAAAACCATGGCCTAGGCCTAGGGCAATATGTAAATCAACCCACTAGCTCTTAAAATGGTTGTGAGAAAGAGATCCTTTTACAGACTGGGTTCCTGTCCTATGTCAGACCATAACAGCAAGAAAATCAGAAAGCAAATGA